CACTGGACCCAGTGAATGAGCAGAAGGGCTGCTCCGGGCTGCGAGCAGGGCCAACGCATCCCCAGTGCTGAGAAGAGGCAGCCTGTGAGGTGTCCTTAGTCTCACAGGCAGGGCCTCTTCGCAAACTGTAAGGTGATACACAGGAACTGCCTGGTGTCACAACCTCCATCAGTGGGAGTGAGGCAGCTAATACTTTTAAAAATAACCTTTCTGTAAAACAACTGACTTTTTCTTCCCCCTCAAACCTAGGTGAAACCTGGAACTTCCCTGGTGGTCCAGTGGCTAAGATTCCGAGCTCCTGATGCAGTGGCCCGGGTTCAATCCCTGGTTGGGAAACTAAATCCCACACGCCAGTGCAGCCAGATAAATGAAAACAAGTATTAAAAAAAAAAACCCGAATGAGATCTACATGTGCGAAATAAGAACACACAAGGGTCTTTCACCTCTGATGAAAGCCGGGAGTCACACTGATTGTGTGTGACTTGGCCACGCTGCCACAGGAGTACCCGGAGCGAGGTCTCGGAGAGCTGAAGCTGCCATCCATGGCAGCACAAGGAAACATGGCGCCCGCTGACGCATGGGGATCTCAGGACACAAGCAACGGGTCAGCCAAGTGCAGCAGCCACTTCCCAGACTGAGCCCAGTCCTACAAGGTCAAAGGTGAACAATGTTTACCCAGCAACGGGGGACACAGCCTCCTCTATGAAAATGACAGTGTCTATCCTTTTGCAGACTTAAGAAGAACACTCAGCAATCAGGGAGTGAGGTCGCTTCACCAGGGCCTTCTGAACGCTAATACAGGATCACAGATCTTTCATCATGAACAGCATCTTGTCTCCTTACAAGCGTCTTTGGAGGGGGAGAAAGATATGAATCATTAATCCCACAAATCACTAATCCTCTGGGAACGTAAGTTGGGGGGTGAGGCGTGGAATCTGAGTCTTCAAAGACTATTGCTTTTAAAGCCAACTGCATTTTAAAAACAAACACATCAATGATGGTACAAATCTCCTGCATTCTTGCCATGACTATGGTCTCAGCGCACTCAGGAAGAGGCTTTGGGGCAGCAGCTTCCACGCCACCTAACTGCTAACTCAAGCCAATGCAGAAACCCAAGTGCCTCCACACTAACAGACACACAGAATTCTAGGGGAGGGCGAGTGAGGCGGCCGGCCCCTGGCCCTTAATCGCCTCCTCCACTGTTTAGAAATAAACCCTTTCCTCAGAGTTCCGTAGGCCTACACAAGAAAGCTCCTAGCTCTCCACAAGGAAGCCTCCCTCCCTCCCGCCCGGCAGCGGAGAGATTCGGTGAAGTCTGGTCCCCGCGTGGCCTTTCTTAGCACTGCCATGGCCTTCTCGGGCACGTGAGGATCCGGTCCTTAGGACCTGGCACACTCGACTATGATGCTGCAGTATGGTCATCCCTTGCTGCTCGTTTGTTCCTCTATTTCTACTGAGCGCATCCCCAAAGCCAAAATCCTATCTCATTTATCTCCAAATCCCCAGCTCAGAGCACAGAACCAAGCGCCTGCAGGCCCCACGTAAATATCTGCTGAATAAACAAGAGAATGGGGCTCCCAGGCCCCACCACCCTACTCTCTGGGCAGTGTCTCTCCTCTTTTGGCAATCGCGGTAGTTTTAAAATATGTCTGCAAATGTGGACACCCCTTCCTTCAGAAGAGAGCGCCTCACCCCTCCCCATGAACGTCAGTCAGACTTGGCAGCTCATTTCTAATCCACAGGACAGGTGGAACTGATGCTGCGTATCTTGAGGTGAAGCCATAAAAAGGACAGGCTCTGCCCGGCTCGCCTTCTCTGAGTGTGCCTGCTCTGGGAGAGCCACCCGCACGTCCAGAGGACACCCAGGCAGCCTGTGGAGAGGCCTGTGCGCGGGGGGACAGGGGTCTCCCACCAACAGCCAACACCAAACTGCCTGCCACGTGACTGAGCCACCCTGGAAGTGGCCTTTGGACCCTGGTCCAACTTTCAGATGACTGTGGTCCTGGCTGCAACCTGATGGCAATGTGATCAGAGGCTCTGAACCAGGCTACTCCCAGGCTCCTGACCCACAGAAAATATGGGCGATCTTGTTTATTGTCATTAAACCCACTAAGTCTGGGGGCAACTTGTTTTGTAGCAGTGGATGAAAATCAGCAACCTTGGAGCATTTAGGTGCTATCTTATAAGGGAGTTCAAGGGATTTCCTTAAAGACAAAGTTTATGGTCATACCATGCTTATAGTAAGAATTCTGTAATAAGGAAATGTCCTATACATAAAACCACAACACGGCTGATTAACAGGCAATTTTAAATACTCCATGGGTCAAATTATACTACCTTAAAACCTAACAACTACAATAAATGTTGGGATGTGATACAGAACAGTATCACAGGACAGCTCTTCTTAAAGGCTGCTTTTTGTTTTTAAAAATTATATATTACACTTGCATAGGGAAAAAAATCTAGAACAGCCATCAAAACTTTAACAATAACTTTATCAGGGTAAAAGCATTATTATTTTTTCTTTTTTAATAATCTTTGATTTTCTTCAAAATCTACAATATGTATATATTACTAGTTTCTTTTTCTTTTCTTTTTTACAATGCATGATCCAATTAGGTCAGCAGCTATGCCACGTAACTGGTATCTACTCCTGACAACTAACACAGTTAGTGGCACATAGTAGGTGCTCAGTAAAAGCGAACAGAATGTCCTTTAGTTATAGATTCTGCCTACTGGACAGTTACTCTAAGAAGGGATGTCAGGATAATGTGAGTCCACAAAGCTCAAGGATGTGAAAAGGCTGCAGTCAATTTTCACAGGAAAAGAGGCTACTAAGTATAGGAAATCATTTCAACACTGTATTCTTAGGGCACGGTAACCACTTTTCTCTTTGAAACTAAGTATTTTGAGTGATTTATTATAAATTTATAATGACAGTTGTGAACACCCATTTTTTTTTTCTTGGCATGAGAACAGAGTCTGTTGATTGCCTTGCTGCTTAAAATAGTTTCTAAGTGTCCTCATAATAACATGTCACCTGTAAACAGGTTTCAAGCCAATGCAAATTAACAAATGGTGAACAGATGGACTAAGAACTGACTTTTGTCAGGAGAGAGTTAGCAACAAACACTTCTGGCTCCAGTCTTGTGGGACCATTAGAAAGTCTTTCACTTCTCACCACGCATCCTGCCTCAGTAGACAAGCCATGCAGGGAGGATGACAAGTTATAGGGCCCATCAGACTTCTGAGAGCCAAAAGTTGAGATGTGCAGAATTGCCAAGTGAACATGTACTAAGCATCAGACAGAAGAAGCTTTTTGCCAAATGGTGAAAACTCCCTCTATCCGGCATCACTTGAAGAAGCCGGCCCTGCTGTCTCTGGAAAGGATGGCGCCTGTGTGTGTGGCAGACAGAAAGGAACTTTCTGGAGGCCGGCTGGTTATGTTCATCCCACCCTGGAAGCAAATGCTACTGGTGAAGAAAACCTGAAAATCATACAAACGGTGGGTCAGAAGCATCCACTGGCGAGAGAAGAGGCCCCCCAGAATCATCCCCTGTAGCTTTCCCAGCTCTTCACTGGTCTCTCTCCTCCCTGTTCTCAAGTGCCCCCCGTACCGCCTCCTTGGGGTGGCCTCTGACCACTTGTCTTAAGCAGCCTCCCCTCCTTACCGTTCTAGGTGCTCCCTTCAGAAGCACTTACCATAATCAGAAATTACTGTGCTAGTTTATTTATTTGTTTAGGACTACTTGCTTTTTGCCTTTTCTCCCCAGAAAATCAAAAGCTTTGGGAAGATGGGACCATGTCTGTCTTGCCTGTGACTGTATCCCCAAAGCTGAGGACAGTGCATGGCAGACAGGAGGTACAGTAAATATTTGCTAACCAAACATAATATAAATGAGATCCTGTGTAAAGGCAAACAACTGAATGTCCCCTGCCAACCCCCTTTAGACTGGAAACTTTTAAAATGTAGTTTGTAACTGAGGATATAAAGGAAAGAAGGTGCAACAGGAGAACAGGCTGAGCTGGGAAAATGTGTTTAAAACTCAGGTCAAGCCTTTGGGAGGCAGCACCCCTTCCAGGGGAGCCTGTGTGTGGAATGGAAAAACCGCCAGCAAAGACTGGTGTATTCAATTTCTGATTCTACATCAATGAGTGAGCCATGGCCCTCAACTCCTGAGGTTTCGAGTAAAAGCCAACCCAATGGGTGGAACAACTATGGCATATTCAAAGGAATACTATGCAGCAACAAAAAAGAACAAGCAATCTAACAGATATTATGTTGAGTGAAGACAGCTCATATAAAAGATTACATACTGTGTGATTGCACCCATATGAAGTTCAAGAACAGGTCAAATTAATTGTTCAAAGAAGTCAGGACAGTGGTCAACTTAGGGAGGTGGCAGCCTGTGTACAGGGTGGGAACGTGAGAAGAACCCTCATGGAGTTCTGGAAGTGGTGGCCAGTGGCGTGATCCAAACGGAGCTACCCCAAGGTAGACACGTGAAAAAAACCACCCATCTGAACGTATACTTTACAGTGTCTGCTCTCTCTCCTACTGGGAAAAGGAAGAGCACATATATTACTCTTTTAAAAAAGAACAAGGGAGCCCGGCACTGATTTTAATCCCAGCGCTACCAGATTTTTTAGACGGCCTGCAGTTTATCAAAACGTGCTCCTCGGTGGTCTCATTTGTGAAATATGGAGAATTGCACTAACACTCTGCCAACTCTGGGAGTGTGAAAGGAAACAAAGAATAAGCCATGAGGTATCTTAAAGTCCTAGAGACACACACAGAACAGGTAAACTAGGAATTGCATTATAACTGCTTCTTTGAAGACCTATGCAGAATAGGTGACCTACAAGTTTGGTCTCCAATCTTAACAGAAACCTTTTTAAAAGAAAGAAATGATCTCGCCAAAATGAGTTTCCATTAGCCAAAAGCAAGCACAAAGTAGAGTTCACCCAGGACGAAAGAACTTTTTCCAACCATCACTCACTGAGGCGGTAAGACGAGAGTCGTGGGTTGAGCCTTTGGTCTACGTTTAGCAGACACTCCCATTTGGTTAGCGGAACGCTTCAACGACTGTTGATTCAAAAGGCCAGATGCCAGACCTGCGTGGTACTGCAACTGCAGAGGAAAAAACAAAAGGGGAAGAAAAATAACATTTGGTAAAAGCAGGACAAGGGCTATTAAACTATCAATACTTGATACATCTCACCAGCTCAGAACATTTTTAATAATTTCAAATATACCCACTAACATCTTGCTTCAAGAAATGTATTCACAGGAGATAATCAGACAAACAGGAAAACAAACATGAATAAGGTTGCTCATCATGGCATTACAAAATGATAAAGAACTGGAACCAATCTAAACGCCCAATAATGAGAGGGAAATTGGGTAAATACATAAAGAACTTTACAACATCATTTTATTAAATTAAAAAGAAAAAGGTATTGTAAACAAAGAGGCACTTAAAAACATTCTCTAGGAGGTTAAAACATGCTCTCTAAAAGGTTAACAGTGTATTTCTGAGTAGAACTGTGGTAATTTTTTACTTCTTTTTTCACTTCTGTTCACATTTGCTTTATGTAAATGATTTTAAAGCTTCTGTCATTTTTTAAAAAGAGGATCCAGTGGGTTTCCTTAAAAACAAATTAGTTCTAGGAAACCTTGCTACTGTCATGTCTTGCTTGCAATAAAAAAACATATAACTCACACTCCACTGTGGTCAACAGGAGCACAACAAGCTGATCATAAACAGATTCAAACACACAGCTGGGCTGCTGTTCCCAGTGGTTAAGATACAAGTATCGATCACAAAAATAAGCACAGGAACATATCTCATGACAATGTACACAAATGGATACAGGCTCACTAAAGAGAACTGGCTGCAGAAGTTAATTCCACTCCATGCACATGCAATTGGAACAATACAAGTGAGGCTTGTATTGGCTCTAAGCGGGCTCAGAGCCAGCATCATTTGCTTTGTTCTGGACAAACTGCTGAGCATCGAGGTTACTCAGGACAGATCATTTTACTTCTCTAGACTTTCTCTACTGGAAAAGAGAAATAATACTGCCTAGTTCTAAACCAAACAGGACTTAAACAAACAAACAAACAAACCTTTACTGAGTTACAATTCATATAAAATAAAATGCATACATTTTAGGTGTCCAGTGTGGTGATGTCTTGATAACATACACCTGTGACACTGCCACCCCCATCAAGACACAGACAACCTCAATCACTGCAGAAAGTTCCCCTGCGCCCCACACAAGCAATCTCCCCCTGCCCTCAACTCCGATCATCAGGATCTTTTGATTTACAATACAGCTCATCACTCTCACTCGTTAAAAAATGAAGCTTATCTCCAATTTGACATGTGACAGTGACACCCATTTTCCTTTTTAAATCCTGTACTTTTGTATTTTAGATGTGAAGAGTTGTCATCCATCTCTATAACAAAATTATCCTTGAAAGGTATCCCAATTTTGAACAGATGTAAATAAAACATTCAAATGTGAAAATGCCAAGCTAAGAAACTTGGATTGAGACCATTTATAACATCCAACATGTTTCTTTTTCCCTCCTCAAATTAAGCAAGGTCTTTCAAACATTTATTTAGAATTAACTGAATATACAAATAGCAATTCATTCTGTAGCTCTGAGTTTCTTTTCAAAATGCTCTTCCACGGCATAGATTTCCTTTGCAGAGTGAGCTACATTACAGCTCATGGTAATGAAATTGGTGACCACCATATAAAAGGGGTTGGGCCCTGGATGCAAAGGGTAATAACGTCCTGAAAAATAAATGGCCCCCTGTAAAGCCATTGGGCTGCACACAAACAGAGAGTGAAAGAAAACAACCAACTGAAATGATCTGCTTCTTGAAAGTGGCTATAAAAATGAAGATATCCAGTGACCCAGGAAAGACTGGAATGTCTGTGTTTGGAGCATCCATATTGCTTTTTAACAGGCTCTTGATTTACTTGGTCAACTTGCTGTGGGAGCCTTATGGCCACACAATACAAGGCAGAGACAGATCACACTCATAACAGAAACGGAGCTCTTCTCGAGGTGGAAAAGGGGGGCATGATTTGGCTCTAAAAACTCATCGCAGGCCAATGAATTTTGCTCAAATTTATTTTTCTGCTACAGATTTCTTAAATGAGAAATCAATGGAAGCAAGGGACAGTACAAGTTTGAAAGACAATGTTTCAAAATGTCAGCTACTTGGGTTTCGATCCTCCCCACCAGAATTTGCAATGACTGCAATATGCATGGGGCTTTATGGAATTAAAGGGAAAGACAGCTTGGCAGGGGACCCTCCTGGCTCCAGGAACCGTCTCTCCTTCTGGCTCTCCTTCTCCTTCGTATCTTATTAGGGTCCATGCAAGCTCAGCCATTCCAGCCCTGCTGACTCTTTTGAGTGGAAGAGTCCTGCTAACTATGCAGAGTGGCAGGGTGATTTTGCCCACCTGGCATCATTTTGATCATTTGCTCAAACAAACAAAACCCCCCAAACAGCAGAAACGCACGCTAGCTGCTGTCTGTCTTTCCCAGAGTTCCGATGAGACTTCTACCATCTTGGATGCTCTCAATGTATGCCACACCCGAGAGCACATGGAGATGGAAGGAGTTTTCTTCCCCCAGAACAAAACCTGCCCTTGAAAGCTGACTCACAGTGATTAAGCGACATTTGTTAATCATATATACAGTTCCCAGTTTCCAGGAACACAGCTCCGACTGTCAAGATCTATAAGGGGCCCATTAAATATTTACCGAAGCATCTTTATAATGGGAGAAAAGGTCAAAGTTAATAAAACTGACAGGCAGCTCCTGTCCAACTGGATTTATACATTATTTAAGCACTAAATACTCCATTCCATGAAACACTGTGTAGATCTGCAAAGACTCTTGGAAAATGTTCACTCAGCCAATGGTTTTAAAACAGCAGAAGGGAGTTCAGAGCTAATCCACAAATTAACATTAAGAACATATCACTCCCCAAAATACTGCCATAAGTGTTCAATTACAGGTTCGGTAATATTTTCTATAAAAATATATTTCAATAAACATACTTAGCTCCAAATGTCTGTGGCATGGAAACAACTCTTATTTTAAAAGGCAACTTATCAAAGTTATAATGTGATTTTTCTATCCAAGATCATTTCTCCACTAACCAGCAAGAGTAAAATGAAAGTGGGAGAGAAATAAAACAGTCCATTCTCTGAACTTCCACATCTCGCAGCTGGGGGAATGGGACTGTTGTGTTGCCAGCTGGGGGGAAGGGGTCTTTATTGACTGCTGCTTGGCAGTCCTAGCTATTTCCGTGTTCTCTGAATTTTGACAGCAAATTTCTCGGTTCCAAGAGAAACCTATCTATTCATGTCAAACTTCCACTTTCTATAACAAACGTCATATTTTTCTGTCAGTTCTCAACCTAAAGCCTTTTCTAATCAATTATACCTACTAATAAGCTCTCTATGCCTGCGATATTTTCAACACCTCATAATGATCTGAGGGAAACACCACTCAGAATTAGGAAAACCTTGATTTACTGAATAAATGCTGTTTTAGTAATATTAGACATGCACAAGTGTGGAATGTGATCAGGTCCTGGTGAACTCCAGTGTACAGACTAAGAGCCTCTAGAATGTGCTGCTGGACCTGCTACTAATAAAAGCTGTGTGATCTCACATGGCTCATTTGCATTATATTTTCTCCAAGGAGCCACCAAGCTCTGAAGTTTAATTCCAAGCTCTAGGCTTCTGAAGACATCACAAGGGTATTTGGTTTCACCAAAAACTGGTGAAGTAATGTCCCTACAATTCCACACAACAGCAAACCCTTTTCCTCTGGATAGCCTAAGGTCTTTATTTTTAAAGTCCAAATTATTGAGGCTCAAATCCTGGTAGCTTTAATATGCTTCAAATTACAAATGACAAAACAGACTGAGAGGAAAAAATATGAAAGGAAATTATTTAAAAAACAGAACTCAAATGCAAAGTTTCTGATTTAAATCTCAGGTTCAGAAAATCAAGTGAGCAATGGTCCCCTTAGTTAGTCCTCCAACTGGTTTTCCATGTTCCACACTGTTCTGAATGCTCTACCTGCTCCAAGATAAATAAAGGGCATGTTCTGCAACAGACAGAAGTTTGAGAAGAAAACAGGAAATTCATCACACTGATCACATTCAATATACCAATTAAGCCACTGGCATTCGATCAGACCTAGAACTTAAAAGCTGATGTGTTTGCTAGAACCCCCCTGGCATCCGGGGTACAGCATCTATTCATAAGCAACGTGATCCTGCCCGTGCCATATGGCCTGAATCCCACTTTAAGAAAACTGACATTCAAAAATCTTAAAATTTATAAGCCAGCTCAATCAAGGTTTGATTCTTCCTACCATGAAAATTATTTTCTTTTCCATCAAAGGCTTCTTTGGGGAGGTGGGGAGCAAGTTAAAAACAGCAATGACAGAGTTCTCCTTAACCTTAAAGGCATTTCAACTCCATTTTTAAAAAATCACTTTACACAGAATTACATATAGATTCTCCTAAGAATGCTAGGAAGACACATTGGTACTTCCAGTAACTGAACCCTCTCGATGAAGAATGCGACAGAGCCAAGCTATGATAAATTCTGGCTGCCTTAGCGCAGCGGGCCCACAAGAGAAAAAGGAGAGCGCCACCCCTCCTCCCTGCACAGAGCCCCTCTCTGTCCCTGGGACGTGGCATCCAGGTAGGGGGCCTGCTGTTCTTTCCTGGGCCAGGAATGAAGCTGGCCACGAGGGAGACACACGGCGAGGACACATCCTTGTTACCACTGATAGCCCTGTATTCTCTGCAGCGTGCAGAGTAGTGCGTTAAGAACAGGAGATGCTAATGAATTTGTCAACTGATAAGTGGGCTGGCCGACTGGTGAAGCTGCCCTGGCCTGGCCTGTGGCTGGAGCCAACCTAGAGAACAGAACGACTCCATCAGACAGCCCTCTCGAGGCTGGTTTCTAACAAAAGCAGACTCTCAGCTTTGCAGATGCTCACTGTCATGACAGAGCCACGAAACAGCCCTGACTCCCTCTTATTCTAAATGCTAAAAAAGCAGGTACGTCAAACCCCTC